TCAGTTTCCTCATATGTAAAACAGGAATAATAATAGTACCTCTTTCACAGAATTGTTGTGTGGATCAAAGGAGACAGTACACAAAAAAAGGTACTTTGCAAACCTTAAAGTGCTATATGAATGCTATTATTAAATTAACAATGCTGACCTCAAAACTCACCAGCACCAGGCTCCTTGCCACTCCTAATGATATTTGAAACATTAATGCCCTGACCCCTTCCCCCCCCTTCTGGATCTGGTTTTACACCCTAAAGACCAGTTCAGCTGACAGGTCACCTTCCAAGCATTTTGGTTTCAAGCATCCTGGGTTTGAGGCAGAATCTCTCTCAAATCACCATGGACTCCTCTCACCTTCTGGCTACTTTTGGGACAGCCCCCACTCAAGAACTAGGCACCTGCTAGGTAAGTCTGACATTGGGCTCCTCAGCCAGCTACCCTTTGGAATGTCATCATGAAGGACCACAGCAGCTCCCTTGAGTCCCCATCAGCAAGTGTGAATGTGCACTTCTGTACACCTTACTCGGACAATCTCATTCCAACTCAGTTTCTGCTAGGCTGCCAACACCGCCTTGTTCCAAGTGTCTGATGTCAGCTCAAAGCCCAGGAAGATGGAGACCCCAGGGACAGGCTCATAATCTCTTACAACCCTCACACTGAGTCCTTCCAGTTAGCTCAACACTCTCTTCACCACTATCTCCCCTTGATACGCATACAATGAGTCTTAAGCAGAAATTGCTTCAGATAAAGGTTATGCTAGTGAGTATCCGAAGGCAGGATTTGAACACAGGTATTGCTGATTTCAAGTCAGTATTCTATCTACTACATCAAACTGACTCTATAGAAGATGAAGCTCAACTTTGCTCCTTACTACCTGTGAGTCCTTCAACAAGTCCCTTCCCCTCTCTGGGTCTCAACTACCTCATCTGAAAAATAAATGGAGTTCACTAGGTGAACTATATTTGGTTCATTGCAGCCCTAACATTCTATGATTCTCTCCAGGCTGCTCCTCAGCACACAGACACAAAAGCAACAGAAAGCAGGCTGGCCCTGGAAGAGTTGACTAAAGAGACATCTGTCCCTTCCCCCACTACTCCCTATTCGGGGTCTGTTTGTATGAGTCCAGGTCTTAACTACATAAGAACTACAAAGCAATGGAGAAACAAGACGGGACTGAAACTACAGAGAAAACTTCTATCCTTTTGAAGTCCCCAGGAGGTCCAACCAAGTTCTGGGCCACTGAGATACTAGGAAGAGGTCAGAGAGAGACCTCTTTAGATTGATGCAAAACCCTAATACACCTCTGGGCCTACATATAGGCCAGAGAGGACAAACTAAGCCCCACTCAGTCCAGTGGGATCACGTAGAAGGGTAAGGGGTATCCGAGATCATCTTTCATTGTACAGAGAAGGAAACTGAATTTCATAGAGGAGCAGGGAATTGCAAGGTCAATTCAACTCAACAAACATTTATTAAAGAAATGATCTAGGTGGATGAGATACAGAGACAAAATGGAGATACTGAAAAGTAGTTTCTGTCCTCAAGGGGCTTACATTCCAGTAGGGAGATACAATATGCATGTGTGGCACTCTCTCTGGGCTGCCCTCCCAACTTGTGTTTGTAAATTGGAGGTCTCCAAAGTTCTAGGCATTAATACTAAAAGGCTGGGTTTCTGCATCTATTGCCAATGAGCCCCCAGCAGTGTGCTTCCCTCTGACAACTAGTAATCTCAATCAGTTTTTTAGCAAAGGTATTTACTAAGATGGTATGATAAATACATTTGTCATAAAACATTCCCCCTGAAAGCGTGGGGCACACCCTCCCACAAATGCACATGTAACCGTGGGTAAAACGGGCTCAAACTTAGAGCCCGATGGTCAGGAGTCATTCCTTACATGTGACAAAAAGGGAAGAACTTCTGGCACTCTATGTATGGCCTGGATCAAATGAGATAATATTAGCAACATATGTAATACGCTGCCTGGCACAGAGCAGGCCCTACATAAGTGCTAGTTATATAAAACAACAGCAATATCATCATGATCATCATTCATCTTTCTGTAGTTCATAACCAGAATTCTCTGACGCAACGAGTCATGATCCTTGAAGCTGCTTCCTCCTTTCTGCATCCAGGTTTGTCTTCAGTGGGTCTCTTTCTGGTCCCAGCTTGAAGGATGTATGTCTCCCACCCATTTAGTATGTCTAACAATATGGTCACTGTGGGGACAAGGGGGAGCAGGACAGAAGGATGGGAGGGAGGGGGAGAGAAGGAGAGAGAGAGAGATGGAGAGAGAGAAACCCTCTTCTCTCCCAAGATCTACTCTCTGAATTGGTCTTCCATCAACAGATTGGTCTACTGCTTAGCCTTGGACTAACTGATATTTTTATATGTAGGCCCAGAGGTGTATTAGGTTTTTGCATCAATCTAAAGATATCTCCTGTATGCTATCATCTGTCTTTATCCAATGCTCAAAGTACATTAATCCTCTCAAATTAATTAAGGACTTTATTCATACCTAGTTTATACTTTTGATTTATTGGTTAATTCAACCTAGTCCACATGTTGTGTGATTAATTGCAGAGGGGAGTGGCGTCCCATGTTTACACACAGAATTAAGTAAAACGAGATGATTTGAAGAAGGTGAGGATACCCGTGAGGAGGCTCAGGGAAGGTTTCTCAGAGAAGGTGGCCCCTGAATCGAGCCTTGTAAAGACAGCTAAGGATTCTATTCTCAGTTTTGCCATTAATTTGCTATGTGACATAGGGTAAGGCACCCTAAACCTCCCCATCGGTAAAAATGTGGGGCTTGGAGTAGATGGTCTCTAAGGTTTAGGGTTACCCTCTCTGCTCCTCAGCCTTGATTCTCTCTGCTTTTCTATCCTCTCTCACACCCCCTTTAGTCCCCTCCCCTCTTTTCCCTTCAGTCTCTCATCTCTCTATCCTTTAGTCTCCCCCAACTCTATCTCTTGGGGCCCCCCTTTCTCTGTCCATCACTCTCCCCTTTTGGTTTTCCTCCTTTCTGCCTCTCAGTCTACCCTTATCTCCCTCCATCCCTCAGTTTTTCTTCTCTGTTTTACTGTCACCCTCTCTCTGGTTCCCGGTGTTCCACTCTTTCTCTAGACCTCAGTCTCCTCCTCTTTTTGTCCCTCAGTTTCCCTTTCTGTTTTTAGTTTATGTCAGCTGTGGAAGACTCAGGAAAGAAAGCTCTCAGCATCAAAGTCCTTGGCACTGTCAAATAGTTTCAATGCGTACCACTATGGGCTTTGCTGCTGCATCCTAAGGACCTCGGGACCATTCCATCCAACTTGCTTCTCTGTACGTTGTCTCCCCCTTACAAAGTGAGCTCTTTGGAAGCGTCTTTTCTATATTGGGTCCCGGCTGCTGATCACATAGTAAGCATTCAATGAATACACTTTCCTGACAGCCTGCCTTCATTGTGCGGGTTTGCTCTTTCCTTGAGCAGAATGCAAGCTCCTTGAGGGCAGGGGCTTTTTTTTCTTGGTCTTGTCAGAGCCCAGCAGAGGACCGGAACTTAGCAAGCACTTAATAGTGCTGATTGATAGACGCTTCAGAGCACCAGGTACAGTCCTTTTCACATGATAGAATGTAAGCTTCTTGAGGGCAGGACCTGTTTTTGTCTCTGTATCCCCCCAAGGCCAGCACAGTGCCTGGCCCTAGTGAAAGCTTAATAACGTTTAATGAATTGTTGAATTGAACTAAAGCTTGCAAAAAGCCACACAGATGCAAACTACTATCAATTTTTTTTAGTAATTAATATTGTTATGGCGCAGTACGGCGTAGAGCGCTGGACTGGACGCCTGAAGGGACTGGGTTCGAGCCACGCCTCTGATTTTGCCACACTGGATAACTTTCTGAGCCTCAGTTGCCTCTTCTGTAAAATGGAGAATAATCCTTATGCTCCCTCGCCCCCAATGTCTCTCATTGGGCTGTTGCTAGGAGGGCACCCTGCAACAGGGCCTTACAAGAGGGCCTTACAAGAGAGGACTATTATTTTTAACGATCTTCGCTCCTTTACCTAACCGCCTCTCCTCCCTCCCCAGCCCCTCTTTCCCTCCACCCCCATACCCCACAAGATGGCGCCCGTAGCCTCATTCCTGCTTCAGCTGACGTCACTCCTAACTAGCTCTCCGCCCCAACCAGCCTTGGACGCGGGGGGCGTGGCTCTCCGCGAGGCCAAGGGAGGGGCGGGGCGACGGCGCGGGCCGATGGAGAAACGTCGCGCATGGATTGGTCGCTGTCGGCAGAAGGGCGGGAAAGGAGGGCGGGCCCCTCCGCTACGCGAGCCGCCATTGGACTCGAGCCCGGCCTCGCGGGCAGCCGATTGGCCTTCCCGCCCGCCCGCCCGCCCGCCCGCCAGCCCGCCGGACGCACGGTGGAGGAGGGGAGGGGGCCACCGGAGCGGCGGAGAGGGGCGGGGCGTTGCTGAGGGCGACTGGCGACCAGAGCGAGGCTGAGAGCGAAGAGAGAGCGAGGGAGGCCGAGAGAGAGAGAGAGAGAGAGAGAGAGAGAGAGAGAGAGAGAGAGACAGAGAGCGAGAGCGAGAGCGAGAGAGGCCGAGGCCGAGACCGAGAGGGAGAGCGAGAGCGAGATCGCTGCAGGGGTCGTGTGAGCGGACGGCCGACGCGGCCCAGCCCAGCCCGGCACGAGGACGGAGCGAGCGAGTGAACCCGCGGGCCCCAAGGAGGCGGAGGACGGGCAGGGCGCGTGCGCGGGCCCGGTGAGTGAAGGGCGCGAGGCGCCCTGGGCTGGGGCCCTTCCCCTCCCCCGTTCCCCTCTCCCCTCCCCGCGCGCCACGCACCACCCCGCCTGCGCAGAGAGCGCCGCGCCGGCCGGGAGACGGCCGGGAGGTTCCGCGGGCCGCGCGTGCGCGCGCCGACCCCAAGGTGGGGGAGAGCAACGGTCGTGTCCCCCCCCCCCCCCCCCCACACACACACACACACACACACACACATTCCGCGCATGCGCGATCCCCCGGCTGGGGGGGGCATTCTGGGAGGGGACGCCCTGGAGCTGGGGGTGGCCCACCCCCATCCCTGTGCTCCTGGTTGAGCCCAGCAAGTCCTACCTAGGTCCTGGGACCTGAGTCCCCGAGGGAGGGGAAGGCATGAGCATCGATTAAGCGCCCGCTGTGTACACCTCATTTTTCCCCTCCTGCCTTCCTTGCGCTCTGCGGGGGTGGGGGGCTGCCTGAGATCTCATTGCCCCCCCCCAAAAGCGCCCCAGGCCTTTTGTTTCCCCCTCCCTGTTCAGGAAGCTCCTTGAGGGCAGGGCCTGACCTTAAGCTCCTTTGCTGAAGGGGGGGGGGCATAAGCCTAAGCACCTGGGCCTTGCTTCTGCCCCGCTGTCCACTTGCCCGGGCTGCCCTTCTCAGCCCTGGCCCTATCCGAGGCCACATTTGAACTGGGAGAAGCCCAGGGCGCTCTCCACTGCACACCTATCTTGTCTTCTTTCTTTACAGCCCGCGACCTCTTTTCAGCTTCATAGGTAATCTCCCCCATGACTATACTGTGAAGGTTGAAGCCAGAGGGGATGCGGTCCCTCATTTCTCCTGCAGACTTCTCGCTGTCACCCCAAATGAGGCTTCACTGACTGTGTTTATACCCACTGTCACGGGAAGGGCTTGCCTTTCTCCTTGTGCCGGTGACACCCCACCCCCATCACATCTCTTTCATTGTCAGACATGTCTTTATCTATGGCACCCTCCCCGATGCCCACAAATCAGGTGGGGAGGATGACACGCATTTATGTAGCGTCTGTTGTGTGCCAGGCGCAGTGCTGAGCACTTTACAAATATTACCCTGTTTGATCTTCACAGCAACCCTGAGGTAGGTGCTGTTATTGTCCCCCTTTTACTGTAAAGGAAACTGAGGCACTTGGGTTTGCCTAAGTAAGTGTCTGAGGCTGAATCTGAACTCGGGTCTTCATGACTCCAGGCCCAGCACTGGTCTTACACTTCCTTAAAAATTCATGCTTTGACCTTCTCTGCAGCTCCAGCTGTGGTCCTCTGTCTCCTCTCATTCATTGTTCACTTCCTAAAACGAGTAGTGTGTGTTCATTGCCTCCCCTTGCCCCCTCTCATTCGATCCTCCATGCTCCTAAAACTGCTCCCCAGAGGTGCTGGGCCCCTTCTCTGCTCAGCCCAACAGCCTTTTCTGAGTCCTTGTTCTGGATGTTTTGGGGGTTGGGTTGGGTTTGATGTTATTCGACATAAGGGCCTGCTTCTCTACCTGGATCCCTTCTTTCCCCGGCCTCTGTTATGTTCTTCTTACTTGGCTGATTCACCTTAGTCTGGCAATGCTGCGTGCTCCTCAGTTCTCCGACGTGCCTCTCCCTTGGTGATCTTACCCCTTCCTGTGGGTCTATCCCCTCCCCAGATCTGTATATTCAGCCTACAGAGCCCATGGCGGCCTCCGATTCCACATCTCAACTGGCTGCCCTGTTACTGTCTTGCACTCAGCCCATCTGAACTCCTGCCTTCTTTCTCCTGGCCGCACCACCATGGTCCAAGTCACCAGTGTCTGAGAGATCAGTCCCATCTGTGCCTTCCCCTTCACAGCCAGTTGGTTGTCAGGCCCCGTCCGTCTCCCTCAGTCTCCCTTCTTCAAGCTTCATTACCTCTTGTTTGGACTGTTCTAAAAGTCTACCCACCAACCTCCCATTTTCTGCCTGGAGGGAGCCCCAGGGGCTTGGAATCAGGAAGATCTGGGTTCAGATCCTACTGAAGACACTTAACTACCCTCTTCTAGCCTCAGTTTCATCCTCTGCAAAATGGAGATAATAGCTCCTACCTCACAGGTTGGTGAGGATCGAATGAAATATTTGTAAAAGTGCTTTGCAAACCTAAAGCACTATACAAAGGCTAGCTATTATTCATTTTCCCCTTCCCCTTCCATTCTTCACACTGCTGATAAATTATCTCCCTAATCCTCAAGTCCAGCTCTGAAACTCAGAAACGGCTTCCCATTTTCTGGAGGAAAAAAATAGGAATTCCTCAGCCAGCCATTTCCTTAAAGGCCCTTTCACAACGCTGCTCTCAGGTCCCATATTCCAGACAAATTAAAGGACTACTTGGTCGAAGTCCTTGTGTCCCCCCTGCCTCAGATGTGCTGGGTCCCCAGCTCTCCTGCTTCAGGCCCATTCAGCTGCTGCCTTCTCAGAAAAATCTTTCCTCATCTCCTCTCAAATCACCCTCAGGCTTTGTCTGAAACTCCACCACACTCTATTTTCAGTGCCTTTTGACAAGTTGTATCCCTTGTAATGTCTCTCCTGATAAAATGGCAACTTATTGAGGACAGGAATTTTGTCATTTTTCACTTGTATCCCCCGGGCCAAGCACAGTGACTTGAAAATAGCCAGCATGAAATAAAGTGGGGTTGATGGAGGGGAGACTAGAATATAAAGATAGGGAACCAGGGTCTGAGGTGGGGGGCAAAGGACCTAGACTGGGTTGAGAGGCCATCTGGGAAGGCCAGACTATGGAAAGGAGGCTGGGGCATAGCGTAGAGAGAAAGGGATCTGGAGGCCTTGGTGTGGGGGGGGCTGCTGTCCGAAGGCCCAGCCGGAGTGATGGGGAGTATGCTAGAAGGGAATGAACACGGGAAGAAAAAGTTGGAGAAAGGACTGGGGGATCAGGGGTGTGGGAGCAGAGGGTTAGGGTAGCAGAACCTGAAGCCCCAGAAAGGGGAGAGAAAGGGAATTGGCCAGAGCATCCAGAAGCTATTGGGATGGGAACCAAGCTGACCAAAAGAGGTGCGGCTGGGTAGAACATTGAAGCAGAGGGGGAAGCCTGAGGATTCCTGGATCTCCTTTTTCCAGGAGGGGTGTGAGGAGGCCCCTGCCTTCCTGCATGAGCCAGGGCCTGGCCCTTTCTGCACAGATGGGATGGGCCCTCTTCACTGGCCTCCTCTCCTTTCCTTGTGGGGGATTGTTTTGTCTCTTTCTCTCTCCATCCCCTTCCCCTCTCCTAGGGCCCAGCCGCCATGACAGAGGAGTCGGAGGAAACAGTCCTCTACATTGAACATCGCTATGTCTGCTCTGAGTGTAACCAGCTCTTCGGCTCGCTGGAGGAAGTGCTCCTGCACCAGAACTCACATCTCCCTCAGCAGCACTTCGAGGTGGTGGGTGTGGCTGACCCTGGGGTCTCTGTGGCTGCAGAAGCCCCCAGTGGCTCCGGCCTCTACCAGACTTTGGTGCAGGAGAGCCAGTACCAGTGCCTGGAATGCGGGCAGCTCCTCTTATCCCCAGGCCAGCTCCTCGAGCACCAGGAGATGCATCTCAAGCTGCTGAGCACCCAGGAGCCGGCCCCCCCCGAGACACCCCCGGCCAAGCCGCCCCCCACCATCTCTGCCAGCACCATACACTACGAGTGTGTGGACTGCAAGGCGCTCTTTGCGAGGCAGGAGCTGTGGTTGAGCCATCGCCAGACGCACCTCCGGGCTGTGGCAGCTGTTGCAGCCGCGGCCACCTCCCCTCCCCAGCCTTCACCACCTCCGGCTGTGGGGCCCCAGCTGGGCCAAGCCCAGGTAGCCCTGGAGCACTCCTATCGCAAGTCAGAGGAGGCTGGGGAAGCCGCTGGCCCCACAGGGGCCGGGGAGGTGGTGGCCGAGGTCGAGCTGCTCCTTTACAAGTGTTCCGAGTGCTCCCAGCTCTTCCACTTGCCCGGGGACTTCCTGGAGCATCAGGCCACTCACTTCGGTCCATTGGCCCCTGGCCCCGAGACTGCTGGGGCCCCTGACCTGCCCCCGACCTCTGACCACAGCTATGAGCTTCGCAATGGCGGTGAGGGTGTGGGCGGCGGGACCGGGCGGGAGCGCAGGGGCGGCCGGCGGCCGCTGCGACGAGCTAGCGGGGATCCCTCTGGGGTGGCCTCCCCAGAGCTCTTGTGCCCCACCTGTGACCAGCTCTTCCTCTCCCCCCATCAGCTACAGCAGCATCTGCGCAGCCACCGGGAGGGGCTCTTCAAGTGCCCTCTCTGTAGCCGCACCTTCCCCAGCCCACCCAGCCTGGACCAGCACCTGGGGGAGCACAGTGGGGAGTCCCACTTCTTGTGTGTGGACTGTGGCCTGGCCTTTGGCACAGAGGCCCTGCTCCTAGCACACCGCCGCACCCACACCCCTAACCCGCTGCACTCATGCCCCTGTGGCAAGACTTTTGTCAACCTCACCAAGTTCCTTTACCACCGGCGCACACACGGTGCAGGGGGCATCCCCATCCCTGCCCCTACCCCAGCGGCGCCCTCTGAGGATCCTGAGCCTACGCCCACAGAAGCGGGAGGAGGCCCGGAGGCTGCAGCTCCTCCCGCTAGCCTCCCCACAGTAGCGGGGCCCCACCGCTGCCTTCTCTGTAGCCGGGAGTTCAGCAAGGCCCTGCAGCTTGCCCGCCACCAGCGCTTTGTGCACCGGCTGGAGAGGCGGCACAAGTGTGGCGTCTGTGGCAAAATGTTCAAGAAGAAGTCACATGTGCGTAACCACCTGCGCACCCACACAGGCGAGCGGCCCTTCCCCTGCCCTGATTGCGCCAAGCCCTTCAACTCTCCCGCCAACCTGGCACGGCACCGGCTCACGCACACTGGGGAACGCCCCTACCGCTGTGGTGACTGCGGCAAGGCCTTCACGCAAAGCTCCACGCTGCGCCAGCACCGCCTCGTGCACGCCCAGCACTTCCCCTACCGCTGCCAGGAGTGTGGTGTGCGCTTCCACCGCCCCTACCGCCTGCTCATGCACCGCTACCACCACACAGGCGAGTACCCGTACAAGTGCCGCGACTGCCCACGCTCCTTCCTCCTGCGCCGCCTGCTGGAGGTGCACCAGCTGGTGGCCCACGCAGGGCGACAGCCTCACCGCTGCACAGCCTGTGGCGCAGCCTTCCCCTCGTCACTGCGCCTACGCGAGCACCGCTGTGCTGTGGCCCAAGCCCAGGCCCCCCGGCGTTTCGAGTGTGCCACCTGTGGCAAAAAAGTGGGTTCCGCCGCCCGGCTCCAGGCCCACGAAGCTGCCCACGCCGCAGCCGGGCCAGGGGAGGTCCTGGCCAAGGAGGAGGCCACACCCCGACCCCCTCGGGCCACGCGCCCCCCAACTCCTGTGTCCTTGCCTGCCCCCTCTCCCACCACGGCCCCTCCAGCCCCTGCCCGGCGACGGGGACTGGAGTGTAGTGAGTGTAAGAAGCTCTTCAGCACAGAGACATCGCTGCAGGTACATCGGCGCATCCACACGGGGGAGAGGCCTTACCCGTGCCCAGACTGTGGCAAGGCCTTCCGCCAGAGCACCCACCTCAAAGACCACCGGCGCCTGCATACTGGGGAGAGGCCCTTTGCCTGTGAGGTATGCGGCAAGGCCTTCACCATCGCCATGCGCCTTGCTGAGCACCGCCGCATCCACACTGGCGAGAGGCCCTACGCCTGCCCTGACTGTGGCAAGAGCTACCGCTCCTTCTCCAACCTCTGGAAGCACCGCAAGACCCACCAGCAGCAGCACCAGGCAGCCGTCCGCCAGCAGCTGGCCGAGGCGGCGGCTGAGGCAGCGGCCACCCTTACAGTGATGGAGTCGGCGGTCGAGGGTCTGCCCCTGGTAGAAGGCATTGAGATCTACCCAATGGCAGAAGGCGATGGGGTGCAGATCAGCGGGTGAGCCCAGGAGTGGGTGGTCCCCTGACCCCAGCGCCTTGTACATGGGTCCCTGATACAGTGTCATTGTCCCCAACTGGCCTGGCTGTGACCAGCCAGGGCTCTCGCTCCTTGAAGTTAGTTTGGGCAGGAGGCTACCCTGTCCTCTGTACATACTGTGTCCTCTCCTCTCCTGTCTGTGGTGTTAGTTCAAAGTAACTGGATTTTTCTCTCATCGTGGTTAAGTCCTCCTTGTCCCAGGGTCCCTGCTATTCCCATCTATGCCCTGCCCTAACAGAGCAGTTCCCAACCCTGGGCCAAGGCAGCCAATAAAGACTGAGTTGGACACAAGTGGGTGTTTTTTTTGGGGTGTGGCCGAGGGGGCAGCCGTTTCATCGGGCTTACCCTTCTCTCCCTCTCTGGTCACAAAGGGAGGGGTTGGTATACCAAGAAGCAGGTCCAGGTCGACCACTAGAGGTCCTCACGGGGCCCCAGACAACCACGAGAAAGCAGGGCAGACTTTTGTCAGGTTTCCAATGTTGGCCATGGCCTCCTCCCCAGAATTCTCATGTCACATCCCTGCGTCATGTCCCTGTCTGGCCTGCCCACATCCCACTCCCTGCCAAGCACTCCTCCAGGTTAGAATTGGAAGGAAGTGTGAAGGGCCTGCTTAGGACCTGCACAAGTCTGGTCCTAGGGAACCTTGCCTCTCAGTACAGCAACTCAGGGATTCCACTTTATGCATTGGAGAGACTGGATACCTGTGGGATCAGAAAATGACCTTCAACTAGCAGCCTCTCCATCTTTTCCTCCATGCTGCTTCCTGCGCCTGGAGGCGGTTTGGGTTATAATTCCCCATTTTCTAGGGCTTTAATTCCCTCTACAAAGCCAGCGTTTTAAGTAAAGCCTCTACCTAAAGCAGTTCTTGAGAAATCTGGTCTTGCCACCTCCCACAAAGAGGCATCTCTGAGCCAAAGAAGTAGTGGGCCTCTGCAGTAAATGTACTCCATAGCATTTTTACTTCTCTTTGAAGATAAACAAGAAATCCCAGTCTTAGATCCTATCCTTTGACCCCATCAGTCATCCCTCACCATCAAGGAAGAGCCTAGTCTGAGACAGTCCCAAGGATCTGTTGTGACTTTAGCAGTGATCTGACACCTCAGTACTGGAGAGAATGGGCTGTGGAATAGGATGGCCCCATTGGGAAGGCATTCAAGCTCTGAGATGCCCTGACCTGATGGGGGTGCAACATCCAGGGCTGAGGAGGGTGCTTCCATTCAGGTCTCCCACTTTGAATGCCTGGAAGGTCACATTTGAGGCTGGGTAGATATAGCCTAGTCTTAGGCTTAGCACCAGGTTACCCAGCCTCCAAACTCCAGATGGACTAACATCTGGCTCCCAAGATGGTCCTGAGCTTGGGGTCAATGGGAGGGGTTGTTTCTCTGGGCTAGGGCAGCAGTTCTAAGACCTGGCTTCTGGGTGATGGAGGGCAGATTCCCTGAAGTCCACAAGGAGGTGTTGGGATTGCAGACATTTCTGGTGCCATTCAGAGGGGAGGACTGCCTTTAGCTCCCTTCAGCGGGTACAAGGACTGTGTTCACGTGTGTAATTTGTGTGTGATCTGAGTCCAGTTTCACGTGCCCCAAGTGCATATCTAGACCCTACACCTGCCACGGTAGGTTTGGATCGTTTGGTCCAAGCTGCACCTGAATATGGAAGGCACAGCCTAACCGCCCGTGCAGTCTGTGCTTGAAGCCCCCTGAGGATGTGACACCCACTGTCTACCTGCTGTGTTGCGGGAGAGTGCCGATGTCTAGCAAATGTGACCATAGGTCAACTGAAGCATGGCTCTGGGATCGAACAGGCAAGTCGAGGCCCTCCTCCATGGGATCCCGGGCTCTAGAGCTAGGAGACCCAAAGGCTGCCTTCCTCCTTTGGAGGCCCAGAGTGGTCAAGGACTCAAGCACTTGATGACAGAACCCTATCTTGGATACCTGGAGAGAGCTGCCGCATGCTCCCATTATGTTGAGGCCAAGCCTTCTTTACATTCTTGTCTTGCATGACCTCCAGGCTTCTCAGTGATCTGAGCCAGTCAGGCCCCCTTGGACCATTCTGTGGTTGTCAGGGTCCTCCTGGTACCCAGTGCTCCATGGTCTGACCTAACCAAGGCAGCAGGAGTAGCCCAGTGACCCTGCTGGACGTGTCCCCTGTGTTGGTGCAGCCTAAGGCAGTGGCTTAAAAACCACAAGTCAGCATTATCTAGGTCTTATCTTACACTTTCATACACTTTAATGTAGCTTAGTTGCTGGCAGCCCATTAAGATTCAGAGATCCTTTTCAGGTATAGGTCTTTCTAGTAGCTCTTCCCCCATCCTGTACTTGTGTATTTGAGTTTTGGTTTTTGGATTTTTTTATTTTTACTGGTAGTTTCTGTTTTTGCACCGGCTTTGCATATCCAGATACAGGTTGTCGCAAACATCTTAGTGCAGTTGTAAGTGTTAACGTCTGCCCCTCTTTTACTCAGTAAAACGTCCTTTGTAGTAGTCGATCATTTTTTTTTAATCCAAGTGTAGTTCTCTTAACAGCCTAAAAGAACCACCTCCAGGGATCCCTACCAGAGAAATGGGAGGACTGCTGCTACCCTTATTGGGTTCTCTTCCAAAGAACTGCCCTCTTTCCTCAGGAGAAGAGACATAAAAGGAGGAAATGGTAGCTTTCTTTGGGTCCTTCAAGGGCCATCATATGGAGGAGGGACTTGGCTTGGCTCCCCAAGAGCCACCCAGGACAAAATCTGGAGGATAGCCAACTTCAACTAGATGTACCCAAAAATTTTTATGACGATTCTCAAGTCAGAGGCTTGCCTCAGTTGCTGCTCGTTAACTAAATGTCCTCAAAATGGATGACCATTTGTTGGGTATAAAGCTTAGTGTTTTTTAGGGTTGCTTTTCACTCTTCAGACACTACTAACTCTAAAATCAGGGAATCGGGGTGGTCTAAGCTCCCAAATACTGGGAACCTGGGATGTAGGGAGGAAGGTAGCTAATTGCATGATGGCAGAAATTGCACTATTTTTTCTAAAGATAGGGTCCTAAAACTGTTGGGGAAGGCAGATTCTATAATATGTGTTGGTCAAGTGTGCATCTTCTGTACTCGGGGCAGACATGTCAAACTTGTGGGTACAGCCTGAACCAGATTAAAATGTAAATGAGAAATGTTTAGCAAAATAAATTTTTAAAATGCAACATAGATGATGTTAATTTGTGATTTTCTAAACATTTGTGTCAGGAATCCATTTCTGTTTGAGTTTGCCACTGGTCTGGAGTGAGCATACTTCCGGTTTGGCCTTCAAAAGACGATAACTCTGCATGGGCCAGAGACAACCTTTTCTTGGCTCCACGGTTACTGTCCACTTTCCCATTCCCAGTCTACCATGAATGCCCCCAAAAGTGTGTGAAGGCTGACTCAGGAGAAAGGAGAATCAGTACGAGGAGATCTGTGGCCACATTGTCTGTGCCTGGAATCCATCCACCAATAAAAGAATCAAATCATGAACAGATATTAATGGCTATGATTCCCCTAACAAGATGTAGACCTGTTAAGATGGATATTTGTTTCACCCTAAAAAAGACAAAACAGTCCCTCGTTCATATTTGTGCTTGACTCTTCTATTTAAAATCCTACTACCATTTGAGCTGGAAGAACCATTAGCAGTCATCTGGTCGAATCCCTTGTAAGTGGGGAAACATACCCGGAGAAACCTTGTTTGACGCTAGGGAAGCTATTGCCCGTCACTGGTCCTCCTCTATGAAAGGAAGGGATGGAGTAGTAAATGCCCTCTCAAGCCCTGGGATTTGCCCATGGTAAAATGCAGAGCTGAGAAGAACAGAGTCTAGAACACGGTAGAATCTCCCTGTTGGGCAAGGACCTCAGAAGCCAACCCCATTGAGGCGAGAGCAAGGAATCCACTCAATGGTCCCTATAGCTTATGTTCAATGACCACTAGTGATGGAGAACCTACTATTACCGATGGTGGTCAGTCTGTCCCACATTTGGTTGTTGTGATCGTTGAGAAATTTTTTTCTTTGCATCAACCTCCTTTATGAATTCCCCTTGTCCCTGGGTCTCAGAACTTAGGCATCTAGTCAGGAAGACCCTGAGTTTGAATCCAACCTCAGACACAATTAGCTATGTGTCCCTGGGTAGGCCACTTCACCTCTGTCTGCCTCAGTTTCCTCAGCTGGAAAATAACAGCACCTACCTTGCAATTTTCTGTGGCTCAGATGAGATATTTGTAAAGTGCCTAGTGCAGTACCTGGCACATAGTAGCTGCCATATGTTAGTTATTTTTTATTATCATCATCATTCTTCCCTTTGGGGCCAACCATGACAAAGTCTAAATTTCTGTTCCTCATAACAACTTCCAATACCTGAAATACTTAATCATGTCACCCTATGTCTTCATTTCTCTAGGCTAAATCTTCCCAGTTCTTTTACCCATTCCGTGTATGTCATGGTCCTCAGTGTTGTCCCCTCACCCCTAGTTTTATCATCCACCTCTCATCACTATCCAGCTTATCAACGTCTGTCCTAAAGCATGGCACCAAGAAGCAAACACACCTTTCTGGATGTGGTCTGACAGAGGCAGAGTGCACCGGGATGGCCACCTCCCTCATTTTGCACACTGCCTCTCAATATTAGCTGGTTTTTTTTCTAGCCATCTCATTACACTAGTCGCTCTCTCAGTCCACTCCACTCTTCAGATCTCTCACACGAATTGTTATCAGCCGTATTGTTGTTCAGTTGTTTCGGTCATGTCTAACTCTCCATGAACCCATGTTGGGGTTTTCTCGGGAGAAATACTGGAGTGGTTTGCCGTTTCCTTCTCCAGCTTATTTTACAGATGAGGAAACTGGGCAAACAGGGTAAAGTGACTTGCCCAGGATCATACAGCTAGGAAGTTTCTGAAGCCGGATTTGAATTCAGGTCTTCCTGCCTCCAGAGCCAGTGCTCTGTACACCGTGCTACCTAGCTCCATCTTGGCCATGCATCTCCCATTTCGCACTTGGGAAATTGACTTTTGGACTCCTGCTTCATTCACCCACATTATCCCTGTTAGTTCATTTGCCAAAATGCTAACCCAGTGGTCTTTCCTCTCTGTGACACTGCCCCATAACCACTGACCTAATGAAAATCACCATTCATAGTCTGTGTTGGAAATCATAGCTAGGAGGTAACTAAATAGCATTCTGGTTCAGAACGATTCAGACTCGGGCACAGCATAGCCCTACTCCTCTACCCTGTGTAGCAGAGCTGCATGCTCCAGCCTAGATGCTCTGTAATCTCGATCAGGATGAAAACCCATCCGTAATCCTTGGGGAAGAAAGAAAGACCAGCAAGGTGGAGGGGCCAGGGAAGATCCTAATTGGCCAAGGACTCTCTGACCACAGGGCTGAAAGCTGTGACGGACCACAGAGATCACCCAATCCAATGCCCTCTTATCACAGAGGAAGGAACTGAGACCCAAGATATAGTGTGACTCCCAAGGCCACGTAGGGTAATAATGGTAGTAGTAGCCAATGTTTATATGATGCTTTAGGCCACCAGGTGGTGCAGTGGATAGAGCGCTGGGCTTGGAAGCAGAAGACTCATCTTCCTGAGTTCAAATCTGGCCTCAGACATTTCCTAGCTATGTGACCCTGAGCAAGTCACTTCACCCTGTTTGCCTCAGTTTCCTCATCTGGAAAATGAGCTGGAGAAGGAAATGGCAAATCACTCTAGTATCTCCGCCAACAAAACCCCGAAAGAGTTGGACGTGACTGAAAAATGACTCAGCAACAGGTATAATGCTTTAAGGCTTACAAAGTGCTTTATACACACTCACGCTTGAAATCCAACAATACTGTGAGGTATGTTCTATCCCTATCCCCATTTTACAGATGAGGCAGCCAGGTGTGTAGGTGGGATATCGACAATGAACTCTGTTGCAGTTTTGAACCAGGAGAGCTTTGCAGAGCACTGCAGTGGGCTGACCCAGCAGCAGATTAAAGTCGCTGCTTTAAATTCAGAAGATGAAAGTGACCCTCCAACTTACAAAGATGCCTTCCCTCCACTTCCTGAGAAGTCTGCTTGTTTGGAAGCAGCTCAGGAGCTTTCTGGGGCCTGGGGCAACAAGATCTGACCCATTAAAGCCTCCATCATTACTCAGGTGCTCCATGTGCCCCTGGAGGAGAGGAAGTACAAGGACATGAACCGGTTTGGGGAAGGGGAGCAAGCCAAGATCTGCCTCGAGATCATGCAGAGGACCAGTGCTCACCTGGAGTTATCCCTTGCCAAAGACCAAGGCTTCTCTCTCCATCATGGTCTCTGGAAAGCTGGAAGCGGTCATGAAGGCTCAGAAGGACATTGTTGCAAGGCTGGTCAAACTCCAATAGAAACAGGCCACTAATTCATATATAAAGATCCCTGTGGCCACCTGTAGACCTGGTTTTAAATTGTAATGTTATCTGTGTTTTATTGTATATTTCTTTTGTTAAATATTTCCCAATTGCATTTTAATCTGGTTCCATGAACTGGCAAGTGTTGTGGGCCATGTTGGACAACTGGTTTAGTGGTTGGAGCACTGGACTTGGGGTCAGGAATATCTGAGTTTGAATTCTGCCTCATATATTTGCTCTCTATGTGAGTTTGGGCAAGTCAACCTCAGCCTCAGTTTCCTCATCAGTAAAACGGGGATAATAATAACTTCCTTATTGTGAGCTTCAAATGCAATCACATATAAAGTGCTTTGCAAAACTTAAAAGCATTATATAAATGCTAGCTATTATGAGCAAACGGAATCACCAGTTATCTTGATCTGTGACTTTCCACTGGACTCTGACGACTCTAGGGGAGAGAGTGAGTCTGACTTTGAGCAGCTCTGCTTCACTTCAGTCCAATTCAATCAGAAGTCAAGACATCACGCTCATGATATCATTGGGCCTCTGTGAGAGCGAAGAATAAACAACATTGCAGGAAAAGGGGCCGACCTTCCTCATTACCAATAATACCTGCTGATCAGCTGCCACCCACAGGCAGCTTGAGCACCCTTAAGACCACCTGTCCTGCTTCCAGCCCAGCCCTCAGAGTCCTCATCCAGAGAGGTGGCTCCCTCTTAGAAGGGGCCAACCATCCCCACCAGCTGCCAACCAACTGTCACTCACAGGGTGGGCAAGCCAGCTTCACTGCAGCAAGGCACCCTGAAAGAGAGAGAGAGAGAGAGAGAGAGAGAGAGAGAGAGAGAGAGAGAGAGAGAGAGAGTCGAGTGACCACCACCATCTGCCCTCAGACCCTGACGGAGATAATCCCAGGCCCCTGAGCCCAAGAGCCTTGGGAATAGCAGCAGTTCCAGCACAGTGTCCAGCCATCACCCTGGGAAGCAGCCCCTTTGGAGATGCAGCCTGATCCCTGCCCCTGCAGGGGCTGCAGCCACAGCTACCAAAGACCCTGAAAAGATAAATCAGGTCACCAGAGCTCGTGCAGAGGTCTGGCAAATTGGATCAACATCAGAAACTGACATGATTTTTATCAGTAGACACGACATTCAAAAAGCATTAATATCTGCTTTGCCGCTGCCCCTTAAGGACCATCAGGGCTTTTCCACCTGATTTGCCCCTGAAACTTTCCATGTGTGCTGTCTCCCCCATTAGAATATGAGGTCCTTGAGGTCTGGGGCCGCTCTACTTTCCTATTTGTATTCTCAGCACTTAGCTCAGGGCTATGTACATAATAAGTGCTTAATAAATACTTCATTTCTTCACTAATTCAAATAGCTAGTAAATCTCCTGGAGCAGGCTTCAGACTCAGGTCTTCCTGACTCCAAGGCTGACACTCTTATCTTCTACACCATGGGTGTTTTTCCCATCTATGAGCTCGCTGGTTGATATGCACCAACTGGGTCATGATGACATGAAAGAAGTTATATTTCTCCCAAGCCAAGTCCAGGTTAGATGTGTTACATTGGCATTATGAACCATGTTAAAGGGAGGTAGTGCCACTCTTACCACAGCTGGATAAAATCCCTTGAGAATAGCCAAAAGAAGGGGGTTGCAGGAGCACCCATATGTGAGCAATATGAATGAGTTTGGAAAAGAAAAGTGAGCGAGCAGATCCTCATGGTCCCCCAGTAGACTACATCAGTCTGGTGGTAATGGGGTCAAAAATCCTACTGATGGTAAATAGGCTGAACTGGCAGAAATATGGCCGT